TCATTTTAAACAATACATAGCAGTCTTATCACCCCTTTGGAATTCCCCTAGGTTATGGAGCTTTGGTAGCGTAGTGGTTATGAACAGGGCTGCGAACCTTAAGGTCAGCGGTTCGAAACCACCAGCCGCTCTGTGGGAGAAAGAGGAGGCTTTCTACTCCTGTAAAGATTTACACCCTTGGAAACCCTGTACAGGGTCGCTATGGGTCAGAACTGATTCGACAGCACTTAACAACAACAACCTTCCTTTATAGTCAAATCCTCATTGCATCCTCAAGTCCTGGAAAGCTCTGGCCTATTCTATCCCTGTTTCTGTTTTTTCTTTAGTGTTGCTGTTGTTGTTAAGTGTCATTAAATCGATTCTGATTCACAGTGACCCTGCTTAGGAGCAACTGGCAAGTTTAAACACCAACCTTATGGTTCAAACTGACCTTGTGGTTCAGTGCTTTATCTTACAGTGCCATACAATTCAATTGAGATTCATCCATGTTGCTGTGTGTATCAACAGTTTGTCCCTTTTTATTACTGATTAGTAGTACTCCATTATATGGATGTATCATAGTTTATTCAGACCCCACTGAATAAAGGCATTTGCTTTGTCACTAGCTTTTGATGATTAAAAATAAAGCTGTTATAAACATTTGCATACAGATTTATGTGTGAATAAAGGTAATCATTTTACATGAGTAAATACCTAGAGGAGTCCTGGTGTGACATTATAGGATAAGTACTGGGCTGCTAACCACAAAAGCAGCAGTTCAAATTCACAGTCGCTCCTCGGAAACCCTATTCATGGTCACTACAAGTTGGAGCCGACTCGATAACACTTATGATTACTGAGTTGTATGGTACGTGTATTTAATCTCATAAGCAACTGTTTCCAAAGTGGCTGAATCATTTTTCAGTTCCCACCAGTTGCTCTGCATTCTTGCTAGCATTTGTGATGTCAATTTTTATGTCTGTAGGCTTTAATTTTAGGCAATCTAAGATATGCATATAGCGTATCATTGTGGCTTTTATTTGCATTTTTCTAATGACTAATGATGCTGCACAACCTTTCATATGCTTGTCTGTCACCTATACTTTCTCCACAATTAATCAATTGGCCAGATTTGTATGTTTCTATTTCTGTTACTCTTTAGTCTGTGTTTCATGGATCCACATGTATCTATCCTTTAGCTAACAGCACACTCTACTTGATTAAATAAATCTGACAAAAGTAAGACAGACTTACTTACGGCCTTGGAAACCCTATGCAGGGTCGCTATGAGTCAGAATCGGCTCCACAGCACATAACCACCACCATCAAAGATTTACAAAAAAATGTGAATTTACCAAAAAAAAAAAAAAAAAAAAACATATAAAAATTGTAATGGAATTTTTCAATAGAAATGTGTTCAATCTGTAAGTCAATTTTGGAAGATGGGACATCGTAATATATGGTATATATGGATCAGTCAACAAGTATTGCTACTAGGGTTCCAATTCATACATGAATGGGTTTATTTTAGACCAAATGTGTTCAAACAAGTCTCTTTGATCAGACGATGGGTAGAGATAAGTTCTCTCAGTAATCATGTGTCTTAATCTTGTTAGGGTGGCTTAGAAAATAAGAATACTTGTACCATGCTGGAGGTGGGAGGGGATGATTTTGAGTTCAGAGCTATATCAAATTTAAACAAAACTTGAGTGGGTATTTTCCCAAATCATTAAGTCTTGCAAAATGTTTACTGGAATGCTCCTCATATAAAACAAGTTTATAGACGGATTAAGCATTTTAAACATTTTAAGGAAGATCAGAAAGACCTCAAAGATGAGCCAAGTGAAAAAAGACTGTCAATCTTGACAAATGAAGAAAATGAGGCTGCGGTTCAGAAACTGGCGAAGGAAGACCACAATATTATCACTGATGCAATAGCTGAAGGTGGGATGATCTATATCATATGGTTTGGTATTTTCAGTTTTAAGCAAATATCTCAAACTCCACAAGCTTTCAGCTCGATTGCTGACAAAAGTACTACATGAAGTTCAGCTAACTCAAAGAGCTGATCTTTCCATCAGTCTTCTAAGCAATATTGAAGCTAATCAAGACAATTTCATGGAATGAATCATAACCAGGGATGAGCGTTAGATTTCCTAATACACTCCAGAAACCACGGCCCAATTAATACAGTGGGTTCTCCAATGTGATCTGCTGCATCACTTACATACACGGCAGAGATGTCAGCTCAGACGGTTATGGCAACTGTTTTATGAGATTCCCAAGGGGTAACGATATTTTCTCAAAGCACTCAGTGGCTTATAGGAAGAAGTTCTAAGACAATTGAAAACTACAATGGTGAGAAAAAAGTCAGGAAAGTTGCTCAGAGAATTGGTTTTCCATCATGACAATGCACCTGCTCATTCTCTGAGGGTAGTTAAGTGTTATTCTACAAGCATTTCCCATCCACCATCACAGGTCTGCTCTTACTCCTTCTGATATCTTTTTGTTCTTCAAACTCAAGGAACAATGAAAAGAAACATGATTTGAGTTTTCTAAGGATGCCCAAACTGCCATTTTGATGTAGTGTCAATTGAACAATACAGAATTCTTCAGGGAAGGGTTCATGTTGGTGGTGGTAAGTGCTGCTGTGTTGGTTTCCACTCATAGCAACACTGTATTGAGTTCCCAAGGAGTGGCTGGTGGGTTTGAACAACAGACCTTGTGGTTAACAGTCCAGTGCTTATTCTACACCACCATACCAGGACTCCATGGAAGGGTTACAGAGATGGAAACACTGGCTTCACAAGTGCCTAGACTTAGATATGGCAAGATCTAATAGTTTCACATTTTTATATTTTTGCCTATGATTTTTTGATATTTTTCTGTATGACTTTTTGACTTACCCTTGTATATCTCCATTTATTTAGGTCTTGGATTTGTCAGTGTTTTGTAGATCCTGAACAAATTTTATGACTTAATACAGAGTTTTTGGGGGTTTTTCAGAGCCACTGAAAATGGTTTTAAAATTTCAGTTCCCAATTGTTCACTGCTTATATAATTAATTTGTTTTAATTCTGTGACCTTGTTAAACTCAACAGTTCTAGAAGCATTTCTGATGATTCCCTGGCATTTTCTACACAGACATTCAAGTTACATGGGAATAGTTTTATCTCTTCCTGTAGTATCTATCTATACATATATCTCCTTTTCTTGTCATATTATACTTGGCAGGAATCCTAGTACAGAGTTGTATAGCAAAAAATAAGAGTTAACTGTCTTGGGATTGCTCCTGATGTAAAGGCAGGGATGGGTATATTCACTATCTTGATTGGGGTGATAGTTTTATAGATGTACATGTATATATAAAAATAAAACCCATCAAATTATATACTTTTAACATATGCAGCTTAATGTATATCAACTATGTTGTTGTTGTTGTTAAGTGCCGTCGAGTCGGTTCCGACCCATAGCGACCCTGTACAGGGTTTCCGAGGGTGTAAATCCTTTAATTGATCATATGCTTCAGAAAAGAAACAAACTTCCAGCTGACAATCAGATAGTTTAAGCCTTCCCTCTGGACCATCTCAGTAATCTGCATGAGAGAATATTATTTTTATTCTACTAAAGTGCTGGTCTCTTCTTTTGTCCGCATCTAGGTCTTGCCTTGAGTTTCTGCTTTACCTCCCTTTCAAGTTAGTGGTACTGTATCTAAGTAAATTCTCTTTATAGACAAAAGACACATGTATCTCTCCTAAGTAGAATTGTTTCCTTTGAAGAAAGTGTCATCATCACTGTCCTGTTCCAGTAACTGATCTCATTCAACCCAGTTTCAGTGATGTCTATGAGATTATACTTGTTTTCTCTATTAAATTATTATTTTTCAAAACAGAGATGTTTACTAGTTTTTTTTTTTTTAAACACCACCTAAAAATTCATCTTGAAACTACTATGTCAAATCTATCACCTCTTTTGCTCCTGAGTTCAATCACAGCTCCTGTGCCTTACCATTCTTACCTCTTGGACTGCTCTTCTTAAGCCCAGTGAATTACTCTAATTCAGGAACATAGAGAGTGAAGGGCTTGGGCCTTGCAGGTAGACTCTACTTGATGAATTTGGGTAAGATTATTCCTGAATGTAGAGTTCAAATGAACTTTCAAGGTGAACATATCCATGTACTCAACATCTAAAGCAGGAATCCAATATTGCCTGTATCTTAGATACTACGTTAAAATTTTAAGATTGCAGGTGACCTTTATTTTTATGGCAAAGTGAAATATGGACTACATTAAAGATCCTACAATACATCCCAGAAAATATAAGAAAAGGTAATTACCAAACTATACCCTGATCAATGCACAGCCTCTGTACTTTCATGCCTGCTCTAAATTTGTCCTTATTATTGTTAAGTGCCATTGAGTCAGTTCTGATTCCCAGCAACTCTGTGTAGGATTTCCAAGGAGCAGCTGGTGGGTTTGAACTGCCAGTCCAGCGCTGATGCCAGAGTACCACACTAGGAGTCTAAACTGATCCTAATGATTTAAAATTCAATGGAAAGTAGGCATATGGGGTGAGAATGACGAAAAGATGTGCAAGATTGAAACCAACCAACCAACTAAAAAATGTCTCCAAGATAAGATATTATCAGGAAACTAGATGAATTTGAGTTCAGAACATGTGGTAGCAAAAGCCAGAGACTGTAAATCCTGGAGAAGGTGGCTGCTCCAGTAGGGACAGGGGAAGTATGTATAGAGTGTCACATAGAGGGCATAACTTAGACTCTGGCCACATCTCCTCTATCCCAGGAGGAGTCGGGGGAGGAGGAATAAATGGTGGAGGAATGAATGGTGGAGGAACTCATGTCCTCACTTCTGTGATCTGTCTTCCTGTCTCTAGAGCACCTCCCATCTCAGCACCCTGCCTGCTTATATGTAGACTGGAGTCTTTCAGGAGACTCTGAACTAAAATCTGTCTTTGCATTCACATTCAGAAGATACTCTCCAACAAAAAGGAACACATACCTGCTCTTTGACCTCTATGTTATGTTCCCCTTCCAGAATAAGGGTGACGGCTTGCATAATTTGCTTTCCATGAGTACTCATTATTTTATCTATATGCTGTAAAACAATAGGAAATCCTCAATTATTATCTGGGACACAAAGAAAAAGACCACAGGAAAGAAAAGAAGGCTTCCAAAAGTTAAACAATCCAATACAAAACTGCTTCATGCAGAGCACCATAACATATATACATAGATGCCAAAGGACATTAGTATATTTTGAAGCTGCCTTTTGCCTTCAATTACATGTATATTTCTGACAACTTGAAGATGAAAATAACACAGATTTGGCCTTAGAGAATGCAGAATTTCAATCACCAGGGGTCCTCAAGCCCAAAGATATTAAAGGAAAAAGGAGCATAAACAAATGGATGGGGAGGGGGTAGCCAGAGACTTAGCAAATATGAGGTAGATTAGCTAACGTTACCTGGGGTACAAGTGTATTCAAAAAACTCCTTTTGAGGCACAAAGTGAGGCCACTGATGCTCAGGGACCATTAGAGAAGTACCCTTCAACTTCTGACCTATGCCCACCATTCTCCACACTGACATCCTCAGAGGTCAATTTTGATATATGGGCTGTGAGGACAGAGCCCTAGGGAATGGTACTGAGTGGGATTTACAAAGACAAAGAAGCAGAGGCCCAAGAGATAAATGATTAAACCCAACCTGGCCAGCAACCCAGGTAAAGGTATAGTAACAAAATCAGGCAGGCACACATGCAGCACTGCTGAGAGGCAAGGGAGAGAGGACAGGCAGTGCAGGTATGGAGAAACAGCTCCCAGAACACCCGTGAAAGTGACAGGTCTAGACAGAAATCACCACCTCACTTTTTGGGGAAGAGCAGCATTGGAATGAACCCACAACTCATGGGCAGATGCTGATGGGAACAGAGCACAACTACGATGTTTTATAACGCATGTTGCTGTTATTAGTTATAACCAAGTTAATTCTGACTCACGGCAGTCCTATGTAAGCAGAGAACTGCGCCGGATAGTTTTCAAGGCTGCCTTCTGAAAACAGATATCTTTTGAGGTACCTCTCAAAGGGGCTCACACCATCAACCTTTCACGTAGTAGTTGAATGCTTACTGTCTGTGTCATCTAGGGACCCTTGCATTGTGATCCCAGCACTAAATCTGGAAGCCTAGGTGATTTTACTTACTGGACGAGTAGAGAGAAGATTTCTAAGAAGTCCCAATGTCTTCATCAGTACATTCAAATCAGAATCGGATAATAACCGGAATAGCTGTTCAGTACTCAAGCTTCGTAAAATATCAGCTTTTATTTTTTGTTCAGCCTGAAATGCCATATTCTGAAAGGATTAAAGAAGTTGCAAGTATCATGGCTATATCTGCTTTATTAAATTATATTTTATTAACTTTATTTGCAAAGTAGAACAGGATCTGCAGGCAATCCTCAAGACTAAGTCACAATATTTTCATGATTCCTGTTAATAAATCACCTATTCTATCATGAGGAATATAAATGTCACTCTTAGATAAACCTATGAGGCAGGATATAATATAATAATATCACTGCTTTCTGATGTGGGCATTTGAGTGCTTTCAGATTTCGCAAATAAACACAAAATGCAATTATGTACAATACTGTTGTAATTATCAAGTTGTCTTCTGTGAATTTTCAAATCAAAATGACTATTAACACAACTAGACTGTGCCATGCATTCTGAGATGTTGTTAGCTTTACCCACATTAAAATAGCTATGGCTTCACAATACTATGCATGCTATGTTAGGCCTTGATATGGCTGGGTCATATCACTCAAAAGCTCTCCCTGGGGTCAGAGGTACTTCTGAGCTATAAGCAATGTCAGCTGGCCAGTTGCTAGTCTGTTCGTTTTCCTCCATTCTGGATACATTATGGATTAGTCTAGCTTAACCCGAAGACATTATAACATTCCTGAAGAAAAGAAAAACAGCAAATTCCAAATAACAATTCACAAGTCAACTTCTGGTATAAAATCTGGTATAAACTAGAGACTTCTTATAATATGTGGTTCTTATCCTCCAGGAACTTACATTTTAGTTAAGGAGTTAAGACATATGAACAATCAAGTTATCTAATGATGCAAAGCAGCATGGGAGAGCATAAAGAGTACTGGTGTGGATCCCAAAGATGACACCAAGGTTTTATATTCTGCAGAGAGCACCGTAGCTGGTGAAATTAAAACTGATGAGAATAAAATAGTCTGAATTTAAGGAATTCGATGATAAATTCAATTTTTAATATTAAATTTGTATATATCAGGGAGCCCTCAAAAGAAGTCCCATAGTTTAAGAGATGGAAGAGGGAAACAGGGGAAGTTCATCTGATAATATATATTCGAAGAATGCTCTTTAGGGAGCTTTACAGGAGGATGAAACTATGAAAGTAAATGAAATCCCGGACAATGGTAGTATAAAGGGAATTGAAAACTGGGAGCTGAAATGTGGAGGAATGTCGCCTGAGAAAGAGATTGAAAAAAAGGCAAGGTAAAAAGTGAAGTAAAAATAGTCAAGTCCTGGCAGAGTTTCAAGACAAAGAAGTATTAGAAACTAGTGCAAAATTAAGGAGAGAAATAAGTGTGAAACTGGATTCAGTGCTTTCTTAGATGATTATTTCAAACTCAAAGTTTCAAAAAAAAGTATTAAGTAGAGCATGGTACAAGGGAGAAGAGTATGGGTTTGGGGAAAAGTTTAAAACCTACTTCTATAACTCAGTAACTGCGAGGCCATGGGCAAATCATTTAACCTTTCTGGATCCCAGTTTCCCGTTTATAAGATTGATATATACAAATATAACTTGAAGTAAAATATAAAAAAGTAAGAAGTAGAAATTACAAATACTCATACAAACACTACGGCTGGCATGCAGTACATGCTCATTAAAATGTAACTACTATAATCATGTTTTTAAAGAATCCATGTAGGATGGTGTCATTTTCCATTTCAATATTTTTTAAAACTAAGTCTCCTAACATTAGTTATATAACTTTATAATCTAGATTATTATACATTATTTAAACAGAAGCTGTTAAGAAGTTAGGCAACATTTAGGCACCAGTTCTGTTACCTTAGGCAAGTTATTAAATCAATCTGTATCTTGGCTTACTCACATACGAAATACTATACGAATATTCTATTTCATAAAGCGGTCATGCAGAACAAAAGAGACATTAAATTGCTTTATAAAGCAGATTTAAAAAAAATACTAAAATGCACAAAGCAGCTGCCATTTCACTGACTCCACCTCATGGTGACTCCACGTGTGTCAGAGAACTGGGATCCACAGAGTTTTCCAAAGTAGACTGCCAGGGCTATCCCAGGGTGGATTTAAACCACCAACTGAAAGGTTAGCTGATGAACTTTGAACTTCAAGAATTGCAGAGAAGACTGTTGTTGCTAATTATTGGTAAGCTGATTCTTGACTCATGGCAACCCATGTGTGCAGAACAGAACATTCCACAGGGTTTTCAAAGCTATAATCTTTTGGAAGCAGGTCACCAAAGCACCTCTGGGAGGTTTCAAACCACCAACCTGTTAGGTACCATCCAGAAGCATGTAAAGTTGATGATGTTGTTGTGTGACATTGAGTCAGTTCCAACTCATAATGACCTGGCATAGGGTTTCTGAGGAGTGGTTGGAGGATCTGAACCACCAACCTTGCAGTTAGCACTACACCTGTAGCACCACACCAGGAGAACCCTATACAGTATATATTCATGATGAGGAAAAATTATTTTCCCAAAATTTAGTAAGTCAAATTTTGACACTTGTTCAAGTTTTCTTAACAATACGTAAGAGAATGGAGGCACACGAGGTCAGATAACTTGCTTACAGAAGATTTCGAATGTTGAACAGATAAGTTCATTAGAATATCGGGTTAAAACAGCAAGACATTTTAAAAAGAAAAAGCAACTTCAAGACATTTCAAATAACACATTCTTTAGTTCTATCATTTATAATAGCTCTAGTCTTTTTTGTAAATGGTAACATATATAAAAAAGTAAAACGTACCATTAAAGCCCAAATTCCGTTCACCCGTAAAGCAGGATTTTCACTCTGGGTTAATCCACAAAGTAGCTCTACGGCTCCTGATTCTAAAATCGGCTGTGATTGAAAAGGAAAAGAACACGGCTTTAAAGTCAGGCTTGTGAATTCAATGAGTACAGATGTTGACACTCTGCCTATGATTTCTTCCCTACTCTTGCCCCAATTCAAAGCTTCTTACACAAAACAAGGAATGATGTAGCCACAAAACAACCTTGAAAAGGAAAGGGCAGTTATTCTCTTAAAAAATATATCAAAACAAAACTAATAATCTCTTGCATTTCCTTCCTTTCAGTCCTGGAGGCTTTGGGATATTAACTCATGTCTAGGAGGCATCCTAATTCTCTGTACATGCCACATATACACTTATGATCTCAGGATCTACTATTTCATTCTCTCCATCCCCTGAGACTCTGTCACTTCCTGCTCTGTGTATACATGTATCGTTCACAGATGTGACCATGAGGCAATGTGGCTGGTTTCATTAGGAAATGTAATGGAACTTATATATCCAAATCATCCTCCTTCCAAGTTATCATCTTATCTTATTCCAAACATGGTGCAGATTTTTCATCCTTCACAATTACTTTTATGTAAGCAAAACAGTTTTGTACCTTTATAGTCATACCACCTGAAACACATGCCTAAACCTGAACACTTTATTTATGATACTTTGTTGTTGTTAAGTGCCGCAGAGTCAATTTCAACTCATAGTGACCAAGGTGCAGTTGGTGAACTTGAACTGCTGATCTTGCAGTTCAAATGGCTTTGCAGTCTGGCGCATTAACCCAAAGCACCACACCAGGACGCGATTTATGATACTTGGAAATAGCTAAAACAATCAAATTTAGGGGACTAAAATTTATCATTACTGAAGAATCCTTACAGGTTATCCGTCAAAGGGTTCTAGAGGTCTCTTTAGCAATTCAGACCTACATACCTCTCAAGATGACATTTCCAAGTGGGACTACACATTTCTCTACTTGTACAAAATGTGCTTGGAAATAATTTTAAGCATACAGAAGAGTAGCAAAAATAATACAAGGAACTCCTATATATCTTCCCAGATTCACTAATTTATAACATTTTGCTATACTGCTTGATCATTCAGTATCTTTTGTTCAATGCATGCATGCCCATAGTATTTATCTTTTCTGATCCATTTGAAAGTAGACTACATACACCAATCTTCTCTATTTTTATTATTTTAGTGTCCATTTCCTAAAATCAAGGATATTATCTTAGATAACCCACAGTGCATTACCAAATTCATAAACGTTAACATTCAAAATAATACTTGTATCCAATTTACAGCTGATATTCCAATTTTGTCAAATGGCCCAATAATGTTATGTAGTTCTCCCCCTTCCACTTCAGGATCCATCTGGTTTGCTTTCAGTATGAAAACCAATGCTATCACCAGACAGTTGTCCCTCAGATGAATTCCTCTGAGTTTATTCATCTTATTTCCTAACCAGATTCTGAACATTCTGAAGGAAGAACTGAAAGAACTTGTGAACTATCCAAAAGGCTCTTCAGGCTGACTAATGGTGTGGCCCTGGCTGCAATCAGACCATCATCAGGCTAAGACCCCACGACCAGGGCAGAGAGAACAGGCAGAGGCTCTGACATCCTAACTCACCACTTTCTTCCTGCAGAATAACTACCAGTCTTTCTTCTCGTTTCAAGATTTCTGCTTGTTAATAACTAACTGTCTTTGATCTGCTACTCTGTGATTTTTTGTTGTTAAGTGCCGTCGAGTCGGTTCTGACTCATAGTGACCCTGTATAGGGTTTCCGATGAGCAACTGGTGAGCCTGAACCCCCAACACCTTGTGGTTCAAACCGACCTTACAGTCCAGTGCATTAACCTACAGCTCCATAACAGGACTCCATTGTGACTAGTGCGTTCCTAATTACCAACCAGAAGTCTGCAGGTATTATAATGCAGAAAATAAAATCAACAAATTGGAACTACTCAATTTACTCCTACACATTAAAGTGTCTAAACCTCAGTTCACAGTCAGACAAACTAGAGACACATAACATGATAAAACTAACTGTATAAGATTGTCCCCTTCAAGTTTCAGTTTTCCCTACTTAAAAAGTAATCTATTTTTCAATAATTTATAAAGTGAAGAGAAAAAGGAAATATATCCTAACAATTAATCCCTCCCCAAACAACTACCATTAGCATTAAAAAAAAGTATTTTTCATCATCAGCAATTATATTCCTTAAAGTGACTTATAATCCTGGTTTATAAGATTTAGTCTTCAGTAAATATAGTTTGAAAATAGTCTATTATTTATACAATTATTTTTTCAATTTCAGGTAGTTTAGACTGGCTATATAATTTGTAATGCCTTTTAATTATGCTGAAATAAATATACTAGATAGAAGGAATGATAGCTGTATTTAAAATATGTGCGATTTAATTTTTTAAGAAAAAAGAAATCAATTCAGAATTTGTTTAAAAACCCAAATCAAAAGGTTCAGTGCCACCTACTGTGAAAATTGTCTGACTAATCTCTACCTGGACTGGGCAAAATCAATACTAACCTCTTTGCTTGGAGAAAATTCAAGAAGCAGATTACATAGCATGGAGGATGCTACTACTAGGATTTCATCGGGTGCATTTTGTAAAACCTATGGAATTAAAAAACGGATACTATTAATGGTTTGGAACCATGGAGGTGAGACCATAAGAATCAATGAGAACAACAACAATCTATCTTTCGATCTGATTTCTCCTATTGGAGGTGGTTAGGAAAGACCCACTTGACCAAGTGCTTTATGACTGAGTAGGGCTCTCACATCTATTTTGCTGGAGAAGCTGCAGTCCACTTCCAGATGGGAAACTACAGCAGGAACAAGAAGAGAGACACACAGCTGGGGTTGGTCAGGAGGTGCTCTACGTGAAAAGTGGTCACATCAGACCACTTATGAAATACAGAATTGCCGTTAGAGCCTGAGACTTTCGAATATGTTTCTAGAAGGGCTTGTTTAAACAGGAGTACATGGGGATCAAGTTACTGCATAGGGGGACAATGGGGCACAGGTTCTCAAGACTTGAAATCACACAGCTCTAATTCCAGTTCTAAATCCTTCACTAACCGCTCTAAGACTTCACTTCTTTCTCTGTAAACTGAGGAAAACAAAACTTCCCTAATAAGATGATTCAGGGATTAAAAGGTGTGTGTTGAATAATAAGGGAAGCCACACAGCATGGAAGTTAAGAGCACAGGACAAGTGTTCAAATTCTAGTTTAACTACTAAGTAACCAAAATATTAAACCTATTGCTAATGAGTCACATTCTGACTCATAAAGATACTACACTGCTCCATAGGGTTTCAAGACTAAAAGTCTTTATGGATATAGACTGCCATTATCTTTCTCCCACAGAGTAACTGGTGGGTTCAAACTACTGACCCTTCAGTTTGCAGCTTAGCACTTAACCTCTCAACCACCAAATAGTATGTGAATTCCTCACATGCCAAGTGGGAATAACAGTTAACTACACTTACTCCTAACTAACTGACTACCTTGTTATTCAAAATTTCACATTTATGACAATGCTGAAAAGAACTCTCAGTGACGCCTCTGATGCGCTGGGCTCCACATGGGGCCCAGGTCGAGCCCAAGGTGCCCTCTGCAGGCCACCTGAAATAACATGCCAGAGGCCCTGTGACCTTCTCCATGGTGATGTCTGAGTTTGATCACGGACAGTGTTGAGCAACAGCAGGACAACTCAAGGTTGCAGACAGTCAGGGGAAGCCAGATGAGGGACCGAAGGTGCTGGGGAGATCAGTGGGAAGAGGTTGGGAAATGGGGAGAGGGCTAGAGGCCACACACAGCTGCAGGACCAGGGCAGATGGAGGATGAATGGGGTACCCACTTGGAATATGCAGTGGGTGGCAACATCTGATCTCTATCACCACTATCCCCAATCTCCATGGGCTGCATGGTGGTGGGAAAGACATAGAGGGGGACCTGCCATACCACGTATATCCCAAGAAGTGCTGGGGATGCCTGATGGGCAGCAAGCAACAGTTGTGAGGGGAGGAAAACACCAGGGCAGAAGATGAGGTACGGCCCTCAACTCTCACATCCTCACACAATGCCAATTTCGTACAGTGACCTGGTCTGATCTTTAGACTCTAATATGCTGATAAGTGAGGAGTGAGTATACTTCATACAGTTGTGAGTTACCAAAATTCATATGTGAAAAGATATTAGAATAGTAACCGGCATATAGTAATGTCTAGGCAAAAGGGATTAAAAATTATAATTAATACCATAGTTGGTATCAAGCAAAATGTCAGGCTCATATAAGGTACACAGTGAACTATCTGAAATGGGTTTGCACTGAGCTCAGCACGTATGATGTGTACATGTCTCTACACCTCCTCACTTAGGGTCATCTTGTTGCTGACACTTTACATTTATGACAACAGTGCAAAATCTATCCAACTATTTTGTGCATTAACGACATGTATCTGGCAGTAACACCAAAGTCGGAGGTTCAAGCCATGCTGGCTGTGAGGGTTAAGCGGGGCCATGACTGTCAGTGATTTGGCAGTTAAGTAATGATGTAGTGATCCCCCATCTTGTGATCATCCTTCATTTTTGCATAATGTTAAGTTTCAGATAATGGCCTGATCCTTAGATACTGGTCATGTGGACTAGTGATGAATGGGTGTACTCCTTTCAGAACCCACTCTTCCAGATCCGAAATGAGAAGCCTTCATAAATACTACCACTTATATGCAATAATCACTTCAACAAAACCTCAGATCAGACTCAGGATTATTATTCCAAAAGGAGTCCTAGGAACTCTGTTACATAAATTGGAAATGAATCATCACAAAAAATTGTAGCACATTAAATACATTATCTACTTTGTTCAGCTAAACCAATTCTGAAGTTCCTAAGTTAAAAATAGGAAGAATTACAAAACGAAGGCAACGCTCCTAAGATTTTGTTTTAGTTCTTCTAAAGGAAGAGGAACTTAATGAGGAACCTAAGTGTACCCTAGGTGAATTGTTAGCTAGTTGATAAATATCAAATTATATATACTACATATACTAATCTCTGGATCTGCCACAAACTCCTAAGACTCTGTTAAATCTTCTTTTGCTTTGCCACGGTCTTCCGACATCTCTGCGGGTGTACCTCCTATCCATGCTTTAATGCCATCCCATTCTGGATGCATCCCCCAAAATCCTTCCAGTCAGAAGTCATCCTAGCCTCCTCTGTTTGAAATTTCTTTTAGGACCCTTATCACCGTCCACACCATTCATATCTTTGTATTGGAAGCAATGTCTCTCTCCACTTATATTAAACTTAAAATTTTTGAGGTCTAATTCATCCTGGCCTGATGTGACTCAAGGTACTACACTGGATGTGTGCTCAAAATATGTTTGGGCTGAATAAGAGGAAGAAATATTTCCCAAAATCATACTACTCAGAATCATTGGTTAATATAAGTGAGTGGCTGTTAACAGCTAGAAAACATAAAATAATTGCTTTGGTTCACATTATTCTCTTTAGAATATTAATTGTTTTAAAAGATTAAAAACTGCTTTTATTAAGTTTCATTTACAAATTAGATAACATTCAAAGACAAATTTCTTAAAAACATTCACTGAGTATAGTGTCTGATATAAATTCAGATGGCAACGTGATGACCAATTTTAATTTTATCAAGAGAGGAACAAAAAACCATCACAAATTTTTAAATTAAAACCAAGCATCCACTCATCCTGTGGTTTGTTTCCCAACAGCTAAAAACAAGGTGAAGTAAAAGGGGTCAACTCAATGTGTTGGTCAATAGCCTCTGTTCTGAGGAAGTTAAGTGTATCCTAGGTGACACAGGTTACTCCAGACCCTTAATCCTACTTTAAAAAGGTGCAACAGAATGTCACATTTATCCAAGGACACAAAACATTTCTAGATTGTTTGCCAGACCTTTTCCCAAGGTAGGACTAGTTAGAAACCAAGTGTTGCTCCATCTCTGATTTGTGTGATAGTCTGAGCTGAGAAATAAAAGAAAATGACTCCTAATGAAACACTAGTTATTTCTCAGGAAACAAGAGAGCACTAAAAAAAAAAAAAAAAATCAGGACTAGGAAGACTAAATCAAAATCAAACTGCCATGAAAAGAAAGGTGTAATTTAAGAACAAGAAGTATAGCAAAATAGTAAAAACAAAAACAAAAACAAAAACAACGGAAGCGAACTTTGAATAATCCAGCAATGGCAAATCTGGCCCAAAGGGTTTTGGACACAGGATTGTGGATTTGAAAAGGTAACGACGCTGTAGCTGGAAAGTGCGGAGATGGGTAAATCACTTTCCTTAGATTCGAGGCTCTTAATGGAGCTCAGGAAAAAGAATCTCAAAAAGATACCTGGCTTTGTTCAGCTAAACAGCAAGAGTACTAAAGTGAAGGGAATGGAGAATGTTCAGAAGAGCGGACATATGTCAAATGTGGTGAAAGACAGTGAAACTTCAGGAGGTCTGACAATGTCTGGAGATGGGTCAACTTGGACGTCATGAGCTGCTGAGGCAGGCCTCTTGGGAAGGGAAGAAACTAAAGAAACTTGTACTCTCCAAGTAACTTTCACAAGGACTTGTCTTGACTTTTTGGCTAGAAACCTTGGTACCACCCTGACAGCTCCTGAATCATACACCTAATTCTGTCATTCATTGCACTGAACTATTCCCAGGGGTCACAATTTGCCCCTCACTGCCTACCGCCTTACTCCAGGACCTTTAACACACAGACCACGAACTCTCAGAGATCAACTGCTCTCAGCATTTTAGTTCCTAGAGGTCTCTGGTCTTCACGGGGTCCTTTACCATCACTATATCCCAACTCTCTGCTGTAGTTACCAAAGCATCCTGTTTCCTACATACACCATGCAATTGTTCCTCCTCCTGCCTTCCTTTTGCTTTCGAAGCCTACTTCATATTCTTCCTGACTGAAATCCTTCTGTCATATCGTATGTCCCAGCTTTAGCACGTCCTTGTAGTAGTATGGCCAGAGCGCTCGTTAGAAATTAAGGATGGTGAGACTTCATCTTACGAGCTTTGGGACAAGTTCCTAGACAAGGACATCATGCTTAGGGTCGGTGAAAAAGAGTAATACACTCAATGATATGGACCGGCACAATGGCTACAACAATGGGCTCAAACATAACAACACTTGTGAGGATGGCGCAGGACCAGGCAGTGTTTCATTCTGTTGTACATAAAGTAGCTATGAACCAGAACCAACTCGATGGCACCTAACAATACTCTAACCTAGGGGGACACTTGTGACTCAGTTGTCGAATTCTCTCATCTTCCCTGCAGGAGACCCGAGTTTGCTTCCCAGCAACGCACCTCAAGTGCAGCCTCCACACGTCTGTCAGTGGAGACTTATGTGTTCTTATGATACAGAACAAGGAGTTCTGGTAGCATAGCGGTTACGAATCGGGCTACAATCCACAAGGTCAACAGTTCGAAACTACCAGCTGTTCTGTGGGAGAAAGATGAGGCTTTCTGCTCCCGTAAAGATTTACAGCCTCGGAAACCCTGTACAAGGTCGCTATGAGTCGGAACCGACTCCACGGCACACAACAACGTGATACAGAACAGGTTTCAGGGAAGCCTCCTGAATAACGTGGACTAGGAAAAGGCTTCCAAAAATCATCCAGTGAATATGCTATGGATCACACTGATCGAATCCACAACTAACCATGGGTATGGCACTGGCCCATGCGGTGTTTTCTTCCTTTGTGCACTGGGGGTCTCTATGAGTTGGTGGATGACTCATGCTCTCGTCTGACAATTTACGCTGAAGTTAACAGCTCTGTAGTACAATATTTTTGGTAGTCTCACTGTACTTCAAGACCTTGCTTAGCACATAGTAGGTATTCAAAACAAAATGAATGACAAAAGCAGGCAAAAATATGATTAATTAAACGCAAGCTGTATAGCCACTTGAAAAAAAAAGGACCGGAGACCAAGTTTACCTCTATTTCTGTATGATATACCAGGTGATAACATTATTAACAGCAACCTGATGCATACTCTAAGTCCTAATTCAGATTTTATTTGACCTAAAACATTTTCTGGGGGTAAGGGGTGCCCTCCAGAAGAAGACTTGAGCTTCCAAAAGATGTTTTTGGATCACAGAAACAGGAAGTAACTAAAACTAAGCACAGCTGTTTACAAAAGTTACCAAGAAATGCCCAAAGACTTAAGAATAGGTTATACTCGTAAATGGCTGATTCCTTCCCTATAAATAACTAAAAATTACGACAACTCTGGACATAGTCTAAAATGTAGTAAGAGATGCACAAGGGAGATGAGAAGCTAAAACTTCACTTATAAAAGGAGATCTCACACATGAGATGCTGACTTCAGAAACATTCTATAGTTTGTGTATGCCTAGAATATCAGACTTTAGGAGGAAATGTGTTCAGAATGCTTTGTAGAGCAATGAGACACACTCCTAGACCCAGTGAGTGCTCTCAGCCATATCCACTTAGGAAAGGCTCTATGATTATAGGTGTTACTTGGTCTTTCTTCTTACCTTCATTAAAGGTTTCCATACGGCATGATCCTGGAAACTGGTTCGAAGCTGCTGCACAGATCTGGATAAACTGTGCAAACACCTACAAAGAATAATAAAAATTAGCTTCTCCATAAGCTGATGCTTTTACTTTTGAAATACAAACTGTTTGGCATTTCACATGACTAATGTACACTTCAAGTCTATCCACAGAGATTGTTAATTTCATTACTTCTTAACAACTCGTGGGCTTTTGAGGCTTAGGCTCTTGGTTAAATAATGTTACTGTATGAAAATTCACCTGAGCGTACTTTCAAGTAACGTTCGGATTTGGAGCTTACTTGGTGAAGGTCCGGAAAGGAAACGGGTTAAAGACATGGCAAGGAATTTTTATTCAGACCATTTAAAGCTCATACCTGACGGCAGCTAACCGCACCTTGACACTAGACTCTGACAAGCCAGTCACAATTCGGTCCATCATATTTTCAGTCTCAATGATCTGGAGAAAAAGGTTAATGCTGCATAAATAACAACACGAAGATGACAGATTTCACTGCTTGTAATGCAAGTATGTTAACATTCCCTGAATGTTTAATGTTGTTTTTGATAAGAGATTTTACCTCTGGAGTAATGATGTTGCAGTGGGGGCAGGCCGCTCAACAGAAAGGTAGGTCTGCCCCACTAAGGACCCGCCTGGCTGAATGACAGGCCAAGGGAGCAGGCTACGCTTTTTATTTTTTAAGACATCTAAAACAGCAATTAAATGGTATAAATACTGCAGAGATGCTGCATAACACAGTCTTGAGGAATAGTAAAAGGTATAGATGATCTCCTACTCTGCACACTCCTTCCAGAGTGCTGACTGTAAATTCTTCCCACCTCCCGTACAACCTCAGCCCCTCTGTGCCCACCTCATCTTTGCCAGGACATTGCTTCATTCCTGCGATACAAGTTGTTGCAACTTCCCTCTTATTAAAAAGGCCTCCAGACTTTCACTTCTCTTCTTTTTCTTCACTTCTGCTACAATGAAGTTGTGTACCACAAGCTCAGGCCCCTCCACCTTGACCCATCAACTACGTCCTCACACATTTTTCTTCCATCTCTCCTTAGCCCACCCACTGAATCCTTTCCTTCAATCTGCCCCACTTTCCATGCCAATTTAAAAGACTGAAATATCCAAACCTTAGTTCATCTCTTCAAACCACAATCCTCTTTCCTCTTTGTTCCTTCAATGGGAACGTGTCCCAAGGCTCTGATCATAATTTACTCAATAACTTGACAACATGCCTTCAAAACCAGCTTCCTATGGATAATTCTATCCCGGAGCTCTTTCCTAATTCCCACCTCCATGTTTCCAACTGTCTAGGGATGCTGTAGGATAAAGCACTGGACTGTAAGGTCAGTTTGAACAGCAAGGTTGGCAGTTCAAACCCTACATTGGGTTGCTGAGTTGTAAAGGACTCGACAGCACTTAACAACAAAGTAAACTGGTGTGGTACTGCTGTATGAGCTCTGTACTGCTAACTGCAGCATCAATGATCCAAACTCCTCAAAATCCCTAGACAGGGTAGCTTCGAATTACAACTGATTTGTTATTAAGTGCCATCAAGTAGGTTCCAACCCATAGCAACCCTGTATAGGGTTTCCAAGGAGCGGCTGGTGAGTTTGAACTGTCAACCTTGCAGTCCAAACCAACTCTGCAGTCTAGCACATCAATCCACAGCACCACACCAGGACACTAAACAAGTCAACACTAACTACATAGTCATTGGAACTTCTAACTCTTTGTGTCCCACACTGAGTTTATCTTTTCCCCAAAAAACTTGTTCTTTTCATTGTCTATCTTCCCTTCAGGCACTGTGTGCTAATATGCTGGTTTGCAAAGTTGGTTTGACCCTCAAGGTCAGCAATTCAAAATCACCAGCTGCTCCTCAGAAACCTTATACAGGGTGGCTATGGGTTGGAACCAACTCGACAGCACTTAACAACAACATCTTTACTACTGATATTGCCATTCTCCAAGGCACCTAGGCACTACATGTGTTAACTGTGACTCCAAGTCTTCTTCCTTGAGCATCCAAATCCAGTGACTTTGCACTATACCTTATATTAATTCTATCACCATTGTCAAAAGTCCTGGTATGGCACTGTGGGCTAATGCACTGGACTGCAAGGTGGGTTTAAACCACAAGGTTGGTTTGAGCTAAGTCGGTGGTTCAAACTCATCAGCTGCTCCTCAGAAACCGTATACGGAGTCTCTATGGGTCAGAACCTACTCAACAGCACTTAACAACAATCACTACTGTCACTCCATTCACTAATTAGGATTTTATTACTGTTTCCTTGGGGGTAAAGTATTTGCCAAGTTCTCCAATTTTTTGCTACAGCAACCATCAAAGACTGGCTGGCTACAGGTTACTTCATCTAAGCATTAGTCCTTCTTCTTAAAACAGACAAAACCAAATCAGAACCTTCAAAATGAGAAGACAACTAAAACCTGAGGCAAGTAAGTGTCTCAGGCCCTGGAGGGGCTAGATGCTGATGCCTGACAGCTCCTGGTACTTGGGGAATTATTTTTACTTAGGAATGAAGAGTAGTAACTTGGGAAAAACCACTGTCTGTACTGAGTGTAGTTATATTATTACACGGGGAGGGAAGGACGCATGATTATTTTCAGAGAAAAAATGAAAAATGCTATCAAATACGGCTCCAATACTTGGAAAGCTTGGCCACAAATAAATACTGAAAGATGACTCTGGATAATGCCTACTGGCCATATACAACCAGATATATAAGCTTACTAAGGGACAGCATTGGTGCATCAATTGCACAGGTATTTAATACAGTGTATCTCACTATAGCAATGCCACAATATGCCTGAAACTGCTGAAACCCAATGTTATCAAGCTAACTTCAAGTCACAGAGATGCCGTAGATCAGAGAAGTACTGCTCCACATAGTTTCTTAAGCTGTAAATCTTTAGGGGGACAGACTACCACATCTTTCTCTTGTGGAGGAACTGGAGGGTTCAAACCATTAACCTTTCAGTTAACGGTCAGTCCAATGCTTAGCCCACTGAACTACCAGGAATCCTGTGAAATTGCATTTTTGTTATTGTCGTTAGGTGCCATCTAGTCAGTTCTGACTCACAGCAATCCTGAAGAGGGTTTCCAAGGAGCCAATGGTGTTTGTGAACTGCTTATCTTTCGGTTAGCAGTCTAGTGTGTATCCTATAGCGCCATGCCAGCACTGCTTAACATTATGACAAACCCTAATTCTATACTAGCGATGGGCCAGAAAATTTTATAAGCTTCAAGATGAGCTGAAATCCAGACTGCAGAGCACTGTAAACTAGAAGACTGTTAATGAGAGAGCCTAGAGAGAGGATTAGAAAGGTGAATGGAGAAGAGATAAAGTAGAGGCCTGGAACACGGTGGAGTATGTTTGCTATAGTCCTGAGCAACTGCCTTTACCTCCCCAGGCCTTCAGTACAAGGAGGAGCTGTTACAGTGGCTATTTTACCTCCAATCCTTGGCAATCTGAAGGTGAACAAAACCTGAATTTGTCTGGGCAAAATTATCAAGTTATTCAGAAGTAACATGGAACACTGGTGTGGCGCTGTGGATTAAAGCGTCAGACTGCAAAGTCATTTGAACTGCAAGGTTGGTGGTTCAAGCTCACTAGCTGCTCCTTGGAAATCCTATACAGGGTTGCCATGGGTCAGACTCAACTCCACAGCACTTAGAAACAACAACAATAGGGAATACATGTATGTTAGAAGAGACTGGAGATGGCACAGATCTAATTAGATCAAAATCAAGGAGATGGCAAGGAAGGGCAAATCAGACACAGCTATAGGCCTATGTATTCTCAGGCCTGCATTCATTTATTCAGCAAGTGTCTGAACACCGACTGAATGCTAGGTTTAATTTTTAAAACATGAAGCTGCAATGGTGAATGTTTCCACCAAATTTAAATGAACTGGATGGTGAATATACACTGCTTGGTTCTAGGGCAGCACACAGCAAGAACACCTTAGGAATGATAGGAGCCACGAGGTCCAAGTAAGTATCTATCTACAAAGGAAAAGTATCCATTCATGACCTTCTCAAAGAATTTTCAGATTCAGGCTGGAGGACAGTAACTGTGCAATGTCTAATCACTGTAACATTAGATGATAGCTTCATGTTTCCTTCTACATTTTCTGGGGGAGCTACAATGTAGTATAGCTTTGAGGCAGCTGATAAACCTTTCCTCGGGTCTGAAGACACTATGGAGTATAGCTTTGAGGCAGCTGATAAACCTTTCCTCGGGTCTGAAGACACTATGATCATCTGGTGGTATCTTCCCTTCAGGCAAGTTGATCCCTCTTAGTCTTTCAGAAAGACTGCAGTAGGAGGCCTGGATTTGTAAATGAACTTGTTAATAAGCAGAAATGTCAGCAACCCTGCTCATATTTTCGAAAGCATACTACTTGATAGTCTGACCCATGTTGCCCATCAAGATATTAGGGTGGGTGCAAGAGGATAAAAATGATGCAAAATCAGAATGTGGACAGAGGATTCCAATCCAAAAGGGTTTTCCTGAGGGGTCATGTGAAGGAGCAACATGGCCTAACCAAGGTTTTGCAGTCTGGAGGGGATCGAGATCATCTGTGCAGGGATAAAAGGGACATTGAAGTGAGTACAAGAGTTCTGGCAGTGTAGTGAGTTATGAGTTGGGCTGCTAACTACAAGGTCAGTGTTCTAAACTACCAGCTGCTCCATGGGAGAAATATGAGGCTTTCTGCTCCTGTAAAGATTTAATGCCTCGGAAATCCTATACATGGTCATACTATTAGTCGGTCCCAACTCCATGGCACACCACCACCACCACCACCACTACAGTGAGTACTGATCAAAATGAGGATAAAAATGTAATTAAAGAGAAAGGTTTGAAATAGAATCCAAAGAAAGATTTGAGGGGTCAGCAGGGAAGGACTTGGAAGCCAGGACGCTACTACCACAAGTGACCCATATGAAAATCTAATGGCATCAGATAGCTTTTCAGGCCTAGGGCTAGGAAGCCAGGAGCAGTAAAAAGTATTCACCATAGTGCCTTTCAAGGACACTAAACCCATGCTCCAGAGCCTTGGCACGATGGAGGTTACACGTTACTAACTTAGGTCTTCCCAGGATTAAGAGTAACACCAAGTGGGGGTGGAAGTTGCTATGCCTCATGATTTTTGTTAAAGATTTCTCAACCACAACTAGCAAATATGCCATATGGTATTGTCTGTTAGATCAGCTTTGTGGCATACTTTTATTGGATCTGCTAGAAAAGGGACAGTGTTCTCCGTGGAACAGAAACTGTGTTTGGCAGGAGGGGTACTGGTACAGGATGGAATCTGTAAGCGTGGAGGAAGCCATCTTGCACTCTTACTCTTCTAGAAGCCTGGGCTGCAAAGTTAATTACATAGTTAAATCATATTAAAAAAAAAAAAAAAAAACCTGCTGTTTC